TATATATATATATATATCATGCAATTTACCTTTAATACATACACATAAAATTGCACCCAGTTCTCAGGAAACGCTCTGATTATTGGAAATTATTAACATGTCCTTTTCACTGGAAAATATGTATATGGCAGTCACTGTTTTACTATAATCATGTCTATCAAAGAAGAAAACTGTGGATAACTGACTGTACACGATTAAACTTCTTTTCATGGAGTACTCAAAATAAATTTTGGTTCTCCTCACATTGAAAAAATACCTTTTAAAATTAAATTAAAGTAAGTGAATGAGTTTGATTGTGGTGAAGTTGTCAAATTTGAAAACTTATTCCATACGATAAGAGACAAGGTACAAACACTACATTCTAAGACATGAGTTCAAGTTATTGCTAACATATAAATAGAGATAACCATTCACGCTCACACTCACACCTACAACCAATTTGGAACCATCACTTAGTCTAAACCCGTGCATGTCTTTGGGCTGTGGGAGGAAGCCAAGTACCTGGAGAGAACCCACGCAGAGACAAGGAGAACATTCAAGTTCTACACAGAAAAAGTCCCCAGGCTAGATTCAAACCAGGGCCTTCTTACTGTGAGCAATAGTGCTAGCCAGCACTGGTGAAACATTCAATAGCTACTTCATTTCAATAGCTAAAACCATGTCAAATAAAAAAGATGATAACATGATGCAATGTGATAGACATTTATTTATTATGTGTATAAAACAAAATGCCAAACAGGTTAACAATGCATGGAACAAAATCAGTTCCTCCACTATGATTGGAAAGCATCCACAGTCCACACATTGGGCTCTCCGCTCCACCATTCAGAAACTTTCATCTTCATTTTTCCATTTTAAGTACTTCTGCGTATATTTTGCTAACTGCAAACAGCGGGGAGAGTGTTTTCTTCTGCTTGCTTATTGAGGCTGATTAAACAAATTCCACCAAGTGGTGGGAAGCTGTATTGTAACTGAGATTTTCATGGATAACAGTAGTCCCTGGTGTCTTCAATTAATAACTTATGATGTCCTGGGGCCAACAGGTGTAAAACTAAAAATAATTTGCAGCTCTTAACCCTCTAAAGCCGGTTGGAACGGGCACACTCCGTTTTGTGTAACTATTTTTAAATCCAGGTAGAACTGGAACCACGTAAGCTAGCACAATATTTTTTTTTTTGCATATGAAACCGGAGGAGTATTACTTACATCTTATGCCATCAGCTTGCCCTAGGTCACGGTTTCCTTCCACATATAGCTTTGCAAAAATGGCATAAAAATCGCTTGGAGCAACAAAAACATAATATTCCAGAAAAAGGCTTTGCCGATCCGATCAGCTGTTCATAACACTTCCTACGTTGAAATTTTCAATTTTTTTGTAGTTTATTGCACTTTTTTGCAATTTATGTAATTACTATGCATGTAATGCATACATATTATTAGGATTTGGGTTATAATGGTTGTACTGATGTATAGCAACTTGAAATGCTCCCAAAAATGGCTCTGCAGCATGTAAAATATAATATAAGCCCTGGCTATATTAGACCTACCATGTTCTATGGTAGGTCTTAAAGGGTTAAGAATCACAGTTCTAGACAGGTTGCCAATGTATTGCCTGGCTAACATATCAATACAGATTACCATTCATGTTCACATTCAGACCTATGACCAATTTGGAACCATCAGTTAGTCTAAACCCGTGCATGTCTTTGGGCTGTGGGTGGAAGCCAAGTGCCTGGAGACAACCCGTGCAGATGCAAGGAGAACATTCAAGTTCTACACACAAAAAAGTCCCCAGGCTAGATTCAAACCAGGGCCTTCTTACTATGAGCAATAGTGCTAACCACCACTGGTGAAACATCAAGTTCAAAATAAGAGTTGACTGATCTTTCGTGAAATTATTCTCAAAGACACACAATGTGCTGGAAGATTGAAAAGAACTTATTTTGTGATTTACCTAGCGGACTCAAAATGGGATTATTTTATTATCCAGTGCAATGTACAGTGCAAATCCCAAAACCTAAATTACAAAAACCTGGATTATGTTTTAGTGATTTAACATATTTGAAAATATGCAGCAGTCTAATAAAGGAAAAAACTGTGTAGTTTCATTCTTTTCTTTTTCATTTGAGTATTTTACTTAAGATGGAATCAGTGAAATTTACTTTAACCGATTCCATCAAGTTTGCACTTTATGAAAGCTGTTAGTGGTTCATGCTCTTATTTAGAAAATCTATGTAAATGATTAATTCATTTGTGTACACATGTACACATATACAGCAAGCTATTTGTGAGTAAGCATGTTACTAGAGGTTTTGTGAATCCTCACTTCATACTGTAATTCATAGTTCATTTATGCAGTTTGTAGTTAATTCAGGATTTAGTGTGACCTCATTTACAAAGTCTTTAAAAATGAAACAGAAAGGTCAGCACTAACAGTCAGCTGTTGTCACAATAGAAAAAGAAACAGACAAAGCACAAAGTGACACAGAAAGATTCTGGGTTATACAAATATAATTTGCCTAATAGAGAAAAGATGTTTGACCAGAGTCTAAATATGTAATAGGGTTTAAGACAGAGGAAGACAGACTGAGCAGCTGGCGTCACAGATGACTTTAATTTAAATATACTGAAACATCTTCATTTAAAGTAGAACACGAATAACGTAATCACAAAACAATAGCTAGTGTTTCACAGAGCTTCACAAACAAGTGTAAAGATCACAAACAGTATGTATATTTAACTGATGAAAGCTTTGCTCCCTTGTCACAAGGGATCACTCAATGATGAATGGGAATGCCTGTAGGAGTAAGAGTTTGCACTTTTTTTAGCTCCCTCCTGCGGTTCAACTCTGGTTAGTTGTCAGCTTATTGAAGTCAGTTAGCTAGCTTTAGTCAGACAAATCAGAAAATCAAGTCAGGCTCAGTTCCAAAGTATAAATGAATTGAATAAGATAAGTTCGTTTGTGCTGTTTTTAAACAGGTGAACTCAGCTGAATAAAGAAAGAAAAATGTGTGTGTGATTTTAAAGGGAATATTTATATTGCCTTAGTATACGGAGTAATGGTTCAATCGTAAGAGAATAGATGAAAATGACTCATTTAAATGTTGTACTATCAAAGTTAAAACAGAATTTTGTGTTTTACTTACATTTTATGTTGGATGTATTTAATTAAATCCATTTTCAGAGCTCTTGTGTTGCACATTAACAGACTAGCATCACACTAGCATTACTTTGCAACAGGAAAGCTGTGGGCGTTATATGTATTTATTAATGTAAAGTTACTTCTCATATATACAAATTAATTACAATCTGTGGTGGAAATCTGAGAAACCAAGCTTCAGATATAATTTGAGTGTTTTAATAAAGCTTCTGCAAGATCCTACAGAACATACATAAAAAGCATTTCATGTTGGGTGACAGAGAAAAACTTGAATCACAAACCAAACAGGTCCAAACAGGTGCAACATAGTTGTTTTCTGAGCACCTGACATAAACAGCTGAAAGATACAAAGTGCTCACACAACAAAATGGTACATTAGAACTTTCTGTGCAGTGTTTTGTATCTCTGTTACAGTTGTCACAAAGCAAAACAAAAAAAGTGAAGAAAATGGGACATGAATTAAAAATACAAAGATTTGATGTGTTGTAGTTGTTCCAAAGCACATTTTGTGTTTGATGACTTACTGGACTTATTTTCACATATTCATCATTTGAATGTTTTTCTCTTCTGCTTTTAATATCCAGACTCAGTGAATGAAATCTGGGCATGCCAATATTAAATATCAGTCCAAAGTGAAGATGAAAGGGAGATGAAATACAAGCTTTGCTTAAGCATCACTTTTTCCACACTCAAAAGCTCTGACATCAGAGTAAATACACATTGTCTCTGTTGCTCTCGTGTTCCTTCTCTCTGATTTGCGAGTGTTTCTCTTGATAAAGGTTGGCGCAGCATAAGTCAATGAGTCCTCGTGTCTCTGAGAAATGCACCAAAATGTATCAACTGAAATGCACATCTGTAGACTATCATTAAAAACTGCTGGTTTTATTTTTCCATCAGGCTTTTAATTGCAAAATTTCTTACTTTATGAATTTGATGTTCTGTCCTAGTTGATTCTGTATTTGTTTGTAGAGAAACAGCAGCTGGATTAAAACAATGTGAAAAAGTGATCAGAAGCAAATGTTTCACTGTATTTTACTTTACAAATCAGTTGTAAATGAGTATGACCTAACCAAATACTATTCAAGAAATCGATATAGAAGTAACTCTTCTTACCCGAGGTTTTGTTTTTTTCTTTGATGGTATAAATGAGGAAGGCTATGACAATCAGGCTTATGCTGAGAGCAACACATAGCAGAATGAGAACTGTGTTGGTCAAATCCCAATGACGGACAACTGGAACTATATTGGAAAAAGCTCTTATTAAAGGTGAAATAATGAAATAATAAAATAATGAAACTGAAATGTAATAATATTTATAATCTATATACATAGATTCATCAATTATTATGTGCCAATGTACTTCATCTAAATCCATTGTAGTGAAAACTAAATAAAATATAAACATTTATATATATTTTTTTTTTATTTTAATACGAAAATACTTACCTTCGATATTCAGTTTTGTTCCATTTCCAAACAGTATCTCTCCACATGTGGCCACAGCACAGTAATAAGTTCCTGTATCAGACGAGCTGACGTTCCTGGAGAAGCTGTAGACACATTTCTGTTGGGAGGCAGCCTCAGGACTCCGCTCACAGTCATAACTATTGTTTCCTTGACTGTACATTAAACTTGGATGAGACTCATCTGGTTTGGTTCTGTACCAGTACACACTGTGATCTTCTGTACATGTTCTGTTCTCAGAATTAGAGACGACTGAACACTGCAGAGTCACTGGGTCTCCTGGATGGACGGGATTAGACAAAGAGTCTTGAGTGACACCAGTGATGCCTGGGTCAGGTCCTATGAAATAAAAATAAATATGTTTTATTACATTCAGTTAAATCAAAATTTCAATTATATTGAAATAGTGTGTCTTCAGGAATTGCACAAATAAACATAAAAACGGTAAATAACTTTGCTGTGGTTGACTCATTAGTTTTGCTCTTTCTGTTTCACTTACCTTTGACTTGAAGAAAAGTTCCTTTCAAAAATGTCATGTTGCGCTTTTTTACTTTGATGCAGTAATAAACAGCTGTATCGCTTAACTGTGCTCCGTTGATATGTAAAACAAAAGTCCCAGGCTCTTGTTTTATTGTAATGTGATGAATGTTTTTAATAGTCGGAGCATCTTGAGATATTGTTGATCCTACAATTTCAGGAAAGCTCTGAGAAACAAGTCTGATCCAGAATAAGTTTGTTGAATGCCAAAGACGATCCCGGAAACAATTTAGAGTCACATTTTGCCCAACAGCAACATTTTTGGTGTCAAAGATCTGATGATCTGAGCATCCTGAAAATTAAAAGCAGAATCATGGTTACCAACAGTGATATATTCATATAATCTTTTAGATTAATACACCACAGTGATTCAGTGATTAAGAAGTATGTACTTACGCCCAGTTTTGATCAGGAGCAGTATATAAAAAATTGTCAGCATTTTGTTTTTTCTCCTCTTGACACAGCAGACGTTTGAAGCTGCATTATGAAAGGATTTGTCTACATTTAACAGTATCAAATGGGAGGGAACAATTTTTAGAGCAATCTTATTGGCTTCTCACTCTGGTGCTGTTTCACTGCACTACCACAATGGAAATATGCCATACCCAGAGTTTAAACACATGAAACAACACCAGCAACACATTTATGTTAATTTATGTTTGACTCTCATTTTGGTTTTCTTACAGTGGGCTGTTTACAGTAGACACATACTATGTTTACAACAGTTTCCTCAGGAAATCAAAACAGGAAAGTGTATTATGGCCTTGGTGAGACTGTGTATGATGTTAGTTAATGTTTCACATTCAGTGTTACGGTGATTTATTTTTATTCATTAGCATATTAGTTTTCATGTAGCTGACACTTAGGTGATGTGTATCAGCTTTAGTCAGGAGTTAGAGAATCAAGTCATGCTCAGTTTCAAAGTGCACCTGGATTAAAGGAAGAAGTTAAGGTATTTTGTGCTCTGCTTTCACACAGGTGAATTCGGCTAAATAACGAAAGAACAGGGCGTGGTCTGCTTATCTGCACAGTAAAAACTCAGATCACTTCGGGGTACGGAGGTGATCAGGTTCAGGGCTGGCTTGCTATCTCTTTTGCTCAGAAGAATCCCAAAGCAAATGGCATTTTCATGGTTCTTAATTTTATATAAAACAGAGATGTTACTGCATCAAATAAATAAATTCAATAGCCACTACTAAATATAACATATGTGTGGATTTCGTGCTCCGATTTTATGATAAAAGTTGCGTTTATATTCATAATGGCCACTGAATCTTGGCATTTCTTGATTTAATGCAGTAACATCTCTGCTTTATACAGCCTGTGGTTTTCATTTTTGCTTTGGTTCTCCATTGTGAAGGAGATAGGAACAACATGGTCACCAACCTGATCACCTCCGTACTCTGAGGAGCTGCACACAGTTTGCATTGTGCTGGTGAAGGAGACCATCCATGACTTTGTTCATTTCATCTGAGTTACTTGTACGAAAGAAATTCAAATGCTCAAATATTGCAAAGACATTTTGCTTTACAGTTTAATATGATGGATCCTATGTAGTGTTTACACTCTATCGCTTTATGCTCTGGCTGTTTGTTGTTTTGTTTGTTTTTGTTTGTTGTTGTTTTTTTGTTGTGAAAACAGCTGAGACTTGTTTGCGTCTTGAGGTCCTGTTCACCTCTCAGTGTCATTTATAAATGCTTTTTAGACATAGACTTAAAATGAGTTGAATGAGGTCACACAACTAATTCACTTGTTTGGGGGAAATTGTAAAGGCAACAGAAGGGAAGAGAAGCACCAGGAAGAAGATCTCTTATGGTTAATATGGCTCACATGGCCACATGGGAACAATACATAAATCAGTTGAGTTTGAGGTGATAGTTGTGCAAAATAAGCTTCAGCATTCATTTGGTCTCTCTTACATTCTGTTAATAAGTGGATTATGTTTTTATAACCAGGGGATTCCCCAAATCCAAAGGGATATGGGAGCAGTGAATACAACAAACTTCAACAACTCAGAGCCACTGCCGTAGATGACTAGGTGAACAGACTCTGTGTGAGTGTTGGAGCTGAGTGTAAAAGTGGGGTGGTCAGAGGCTTGGAGCATAGTGGGGATTCCAAGCTGTTGAAATCGGTTTTCATCAAGAAGATTTTGCTCACCGCAAGAGTCAGTGAGCACTTGCAAAGGGAGTCCTGGTTCAGACAAATGGTATTAGCGAGCAGAATAATAACTGATCCCTAGAACCACCTACCAGTAGTCCACTCTTACTGGGAGAAATACTTCTTTTTTTTGGTGCCCCCAGATAGGTGGAAACAAAATTACTGGGTTGGCTGCAAGAACGGAAAATTCTAGCCTCAATTCTTCTCTGCGTAGCCTTCCTTTCAAGCCATGACGCTACTATGCCCTTGGGAATGATAGAACTTGAATTTTCTCTCTTGCAAGATTGGCTCACTGTGAGAGTGCTACATGCCCCCCAACCCCCCTGGCCCTTGATGCCAAACACATAA